GCAGCCTACTAGCAGGGAGACCGAGAAGAGAAGCACCGAGTCCCTCCTATTCTCCTGCTTGCTCTGAGGACTACTAGGATAGCCACCTCAAGAGATAGTTCACAACAGTGAGTTGGCTTTTTATCCTTGCCTTTGGGAGGCACCAAAAACACCCGAGTCATACTTTGATGTGGTCCCGTCTAGAATTCCCCCTCTCTACACTGCAGAGAATTCTGTGTCAGCACAGGATAGGTGATAAATACTCTCCAAGCATATGCAAGCTAATGCATGAAGCACAAGTGATACCGATGTTAATTCCATGGCATAATGTTTTCATTGCAATATTTATTCTCTAGGGAAACCATTTGAGATGACTACAATCATGAATGCGGCTGTTGCCAATATTATAGTGTCCATTTTACTCGGCAAGCGATATGAATACGAAGACCCCACGTTTGTAAGATTACTGAACTTGGTCAATGAAAACGTCCGGCTTGTGGGAAGTCCCTCAGTCGCGGTAAACTATTTAAACTTTGGTTTTTAAATGGTTGAAAATACCAGTACAAACAGTACAGGCAGGACTAGGTACATATTCATGCCTTTAAAGATTCACTGCACAAACTGAAGACTTCGTAGCAGATAGAAAACTCATTCTGAGAAACTTGCAACTTATTTTAAATGTTTCGGAAAATATATGGAACGATCCTTTGAAAGCTGTACCACTTGAAGTCTTGCCAGGGCCTCAGGCAGCCTGCGTGGGCAATGCCAGCAACCTACCCCCCATGTCCCAGTTCCTAATCTCCCGATGGTTGCACGGCCTAGTAACCCCAGCCAATGCAATGTTGGAAACCAGCGGGAAGGTTTGGGTGGTACAGTGTCACAGGAGATTTTCAAAACACCTTTGAGATTTCTGCCTCAGCAGTAGGATTTGGGAATGTCTTTAAAAAATTATTATAAGGGATACCGAAAAAAGAAGGAATAGGGAAAAACAGATAGAAAATATAATTACCAAAAAAACCTAGTGTGAGGGCAATTTTACAGAAACTGAGGACACTTTTTCAAAATATATATGTATATGTAGAAAAGTATATAGTATAATAGCTTAACAAATGTTTAACAAGATATATATGATGTAAGGGCATAAGGATATAGCTGAAAATATATATGACCTATTAACTCAAAAAGCTGTATAATGACCTACTCATTCTACCAATTTGTCATACTATATTTCCATTTTTATCTTATCTTATCGATCTTATCTGTTATATGGTATAACATAAATAACATCATAAAAGTTTATAAGATTTCACACAACAGTTTGTTATAATAAATAAGTTTGTTATAATAAACAGCATGTACTGCTGTTTTCATTTCATATTAAAACTATCTCCCTTATAAATAAAAGCCGAATGGTAGTGGCACTTCTCTAGAACATTCCACACGCTCCAAAATCAGTTTGCTCTCTGATCTGTCTATCAGAGGGTCTCCCTATTCACTAACTGCTTTGCCTGAGTCCTGCCTCCAACATTCTAAACATTTTGCTAATCCTCTCCCCCCCATAGCCAGTCAGAACATTACTGGAGATTATTTGCATATGCAGCCTCATTGGCCTCTGCCTCGGAACACAGAGGTCATTTGCATATGCGACTTGATTGGCTTTTGCCTCTCACATTCTAACCAGTTTTGCTCTTCTGAGGTAAAATGTGTCCAATCTCCAGGTGAGGGCTGGAGATCACTCAGAATTACAACTGCTTTCCAGATGGCAGAGATCAGTTCCCCTGGAGAAAATGGTGGGCTCTGTATCCTTATATGCTGCTGAGGTGGCCCCCGTATGACAGCCAATGTGACATAGAAGTCAGGGCTTCAGAGCACGGGAGAGGCTGCAGGTGTGTGGGGGGTGGAAAGCTGAAGAGTGAGGGGGAAATAAAGGTAGGTTGATGATTGGCTGGGAAGGAGATAGGTTTGCCAACTCCAGGTGGGAAATTCCTGGAGATGTGAGGGATGGAGCCTGGAGAGGGTGAGGTTTCAGGAGGCATGGGACCTCAGACAGGTACAAAGCCATAGACTCCACCCTCCAAACCAACTATTCCCTTCTGGGGAACCACCGTTGCCAATCTCCAGGTGAGGGCTGGAGATCACTCAAAATTACAACTGTTCTTTAGGTAGCAGAGATCAGTTCCTCTGGAGAAAATGGTGGACTCAGTGTCATTATACCCTGCTGAGGTCGCCACAGCAAATTGACACTGAGTGTCCAAGGCCGGGGCACCCGCCCAGAGCCTCTTTCTAGAGGCCGTTGTATTTATTTCCACAACGGGCCTTTTTCCTAGTCTTATAGTATTATTGTTTACTGTTAAACCTTTCAGATATATAACTAAAGAGTCATCGAAAACTTGGCAATTGTTTTCGAATTCATCTTTCGGACTTTGGTGAATGGCTTTTATAGTTTTTATCCATCTTCTCAATGTCTTTTGGGGTAATGTACCGGTGATAAAACATTTTATACCAGTTCTCTCTAAGTGCTTGACTCGCTGTAAATGTTATGTCTTTCGTCCAAACCTTTTCCCATTGCTGAAATCAAATCTCCTTGGCAAAGCTTTGTGACCATTTCACCATACATGTCTTGACTTGGATTTGGGGATTTCTTGATCTTTTTCTTTCTCATATTTTATTCTTTTAGCTGTACAACATGTTTCCTGCTCTGGGCTTTCTTTCTGGTGGTCGCAAGACTGTCCTTAAGAACAGGGATGAACTGTACGCCTTCATACAGGCCACCTTCATAGAACACCTGAAAGAACTGGACGTGAACGACCAGAGGAGCTTTATTGATGCTTTTCTAATCCAACAGCAAGAGGTAAAGCATCGTGTTTGTGGGATTATGAGGATGTTCTATATACAGGAGAGACCTGTCTCCATGAAAGACCATGTGGTGAGAATGAGAGGTCAAAAGGCCGGAGAGAGAGGGGGGCCAGAGGGCAGCTCCCAGGTTAAGACAATGAGAGGCATCCCATTCAAGGAGATAACATCTGTACACACAGATGTAGCATCCCCCCCCAATGTTGAGGCAAGCTGAGTCTCTCCCTTCAGCACTCCCTCTCCACTCTGTAAGCTATCAAGGTTCACAATGTTCAGGTTGTCCCGCAGACCTTGGTATTTGTCTCTTGGTAGCAGTTGGGTAAATAGCCCGCTGTCATTTTCTCAGTGGGACAGTAGTGTCATTTGACAACTCCTTGTCCCTGCAGGACCCTTACATACTGGTACCTGATTCCAATGTGCTTTGTCTGTGCACTGTTCTTTTTTGAAAGAGCTATAAGCTCTGGTTATCCTCTAGCATTTGAACTGGCAAAGGGTCCTTCATACCAAAATCCTCATGTAACATTATAAAGGTAAAGGCAAAGGTTCCCTTGCTCGAAAGCCAGTCGAGTCCGACTCTAGGGTTGTGGTGCTCATCTCCGTTTCAAAGCCAGAGAGCCAGCGCTGTCCAAAGACGTTTCCGTGGTCATGTGGCCGGCATGACTAAACACCAAGGCGCACGGAACGCTGTTACCTTCCCACCGAAGTGGTACCTATTGATCTACTTACAGTTTCTTGCTTTCGAACTGCTAGGTTGGCAGGAGTTGTAACATCATAAACCCTCTAATTCTCTCTACGCTGTGGAAGTAGATCCAAATTCTGCTTCAGGAGATGAGCGGGCAACACTTTCTTGTTTACAACTTGCTCAACTTATAACAGTACCTCCACAGAAAAATACATAACTGCTAGTGGATCTTAGGCCTGATCTTTCTCCAGTCCAGTCTTCATCAGCATACCCCAATAGCGAGGGATTGTTAGTTGCTGGCAGTTGCAGTTGAAAGTGTGTAGTACCCTTTCAGTAACTCATCACCCTTTTAACTGTACTCCAGTTCTTTGTGGTGGATGTGCTAACCCTTCTGGATACTATATTTACAGCTGTTGTGATGTTAGGTCTTGTTGTCACTGCTAAGTATAGACACTCGCCTATGGCATCTCTGTAGTTATTGCTGTCTGGCAGTGGTTCATTGGGTACCTTTTCTTTGTAGAAGCCCGGTTACATCGGTGTGCGCATGGGATTAACACCCTCCACAGTGTTCCCTCTAAACTGTCAACTGTTTTGAGCAGAAATTCTAACTTTTGGACAAAATAATCTATGAACATAAAAGTTGTGAGCGAGCCTAATTTTTTAAACAAAGTTTTGTATGTTTACAAACATACAAAACATACGAACATGAAGAAATGGAAAGAACGGGGGGAAGGGAAAGGGAGGGGAGGGGACGAAGGAGAGCTTCTTATATGAATGCTGCTTCTTTGTTTCAGATCTTCCCCCAGTGGGAAACTAGGGCAGCATATTTGCTTTCTTAATAACACATTTCATGACATTTTGAAGCCTTGTTTTGTAAAGAGTAGAAGCCCAAAAGTGACAGAGCTTGTATCTCTGTTGAGAAAGGGAGGGAGGGAGGGAGGAAGAGAGGGAAGGAGAGAGGGAGGAAAGGAGGGAGAGAGGAAGGGAGGCAGGGAGGAAGGGAGGCAGGGAGGAAGGAAGGAGGGAAGGAGGGAAGGAGGGAGGGAGATTGAAAGGAAGAAGAAAGATGCCCCTGTGATGTCTTTTCTCCTGGAAGCCTAACCATGACTGGAGAGCATTCTCACTTCCCGATGCTTCCCTTGCTGGGTCTGTTCCTGGACCCAGCTGTTCAGGTGGGGATTCCATCAGTGCGGGGCCCAATCCTTTCAATGCTTCCGAGGAGGATGTGGCAGCTGGCTGGCCCATGGCATTTTGAACTCAGTGAGAGACAAGGTTGCCTGCCAGATCATTTTATATCGAAATGATTTATATCTTAATGTTTTGTGAAGTCATTTTGATCAGTCCTGTCGACCTCCTTGTCTGTCTCACCATAGTATCCCTTTTCTGCTGTATGCAGGTGACGTGGTCCGGTTATCCCTCCTATTGGTTTACAGAGACCCTTAAAGCTTTTTCCTGACTACTGTTGTGAAGAAGGTTTGACAGTAAACTGTCAGAAGTCCAAGGTGGCGGTCTTCACCAGTAAACAGAATTCTAAAACATATCGTTGGCCCATGGGGGCGGGGGTGAATTAGAACAAGTTAAAGAATTTTCTTATCTTGGGATTGTATTTGCTTCACATTTAACCTGGGACTTGCATCAAAAAGCTGTGAGAAACAAATTTAAACCTGTATCGTGGGTATTCTGAGTTTCTTTTGAACAAGAAGGAGACATATACCAGGAGCTATTCTAAAGGTAACTCCTATTATATGGGGTGGCAATAAGATTTAAGGCGGTCATGGAATCTATTGATTTCCCACTTCTTTACTTCCTCAGAAAGCTGCTAAACATCCCACACTGTGTTGCTGCTGTGACTTTGCATATCAAATGTGTTCAGCCATCACTGGAAACTAGCGCATGAATACGTGCATGTAATCGTTGCTTAAAGTTACTTTTTGGTGTTAATGGCTATCCGGCTTTATTGATGGAGGTTTCTTATAAATCATCATCTTTTAGGATCATGGATAAGAAATGGTCAACTATTGCTTTTACCACAGAACCTATCAAGGCACGGGGGGCTTGCCAAATCAGTAAATTTAATTTAAAAATGGATTAGGCTGATTGATCACAATAGTTCTATTCTTCATAACAGTTTTGTTCCTCATGCTCAATGAGTTTGTTCTTCACAATTCTTTTTAATGCCTCCCCTTGGTTCTCTTCCCTCCTGGTCTTCTCAGGGCCTTTGCTCTTGCTAGAATGAATGCCCATTCAACAATGTTTATGAGAAGCGGCGATGTGCATTTTCCCTGCACTGACGGGATTTGCTCTTCCTCGCTTTGTAAAATAGATACAAGTTCTCATAATTTTTCGGAATGTCCTTTAGATTCCAACCTAAGATGTGGTTTCATTTTACTACAGTAGGTGAGTCTCTACTATTCTATTCCAAGCAGGGTGGTCCCGTTTCAGATCAAAATCCTTTTTTTTTTAAAATAAAGGTTTTATTGGCTCCCCTAAAAAGGGGAGGTATTTCGCTTAAAAGAAAAAAAGGAAGGGGTAGACAGTGGGAGAAAGAGAAAGCTGAGTGATATATAAACTGGTAAATTAAACTGTTAGTAATGTCCAATTAATCTTCTTGGGCTTCTTCTGTGTGTTGCCAAACTTCTTTTCTTAGTCCTGTTACATGTATTCTCTGTTAGTATGTTAGTAATGTTCCTTTGAGATTCTGTTAATAAAAAGGGTCTCTTCTGTGCACATTCAGAACCGCTTCTTTGCGTGCTGGGTATTTTTACTATCGCTGACATGGAGGAGCTTCCTCTGGTCTTCTCCTTCCGGCTTGTTAGATCCTCCTTCGGGTTGTTGTTAATACGCTCAGTTCATGTACTATAAATCCTCTTCCTTTCATGCCCCGGAGGTCCCCATTTTCGAGAATGGTATCAATTTCATTTTCGCTTTTATATTCGCTCCCAGACTCTCTATGGGTCCTCCTCGCAATTGTTGACTTATAAGCGCTTATCAGGCACTTCTCGCTGTCACAATTCCAACTTATCTTTTTTGCAAAACTCCCGTCGGATTCACAGCCATAAACAGTCCAAACATTCAACAGCCGGCTCTTGCGCACAAACAAACGCCCAGACGGAAGTCCCTCCCTCCTCTCCGCTCGCTTTTGCCCAGCTCCGACATCTTTTCTTTTTTGTTTACTTTTAGAAAGTTCTTAAAATGTGCTCCAGAGAGACAAGTTTCTCGCTTTCAAATACATCAAAGGAAAACATCACTGTCCGCTCAATTCATCCCCCCCTCCTTTTCTTTTTCGCTTGTATAGATGGAGGATTAACCTCTTCGCCTTTTTCGCTGGGAGGGGGGGGAAACAATTTTCAGTTCTTTTTCTCTGCATTTTGACAACTCACAGTTAAGCCGATCTTTTCTTTTTCTTTTCCACTTTTGCGGATGGTCGCTTTATCACTCGGTGACGTCTGGTGGCTCCGCTAAACCCCGTTCGGGGTCGCTCACGCAGCAAGGTCCATTGGGGCAGGGCATGGCGGGAGCCTCGCTCTCCGACCTCTCGGCCGAAAGAGCGACTCCCCCCTAGTGCGCCCTAAAGCGCCCCGGATCCGAGCTCCTCTCTTCTGAGGGGCTCGTTCGGGTCTCCACTCGCGCGGATTCCCTCCTCCACCGCGGGCGGGCGAGGCGCCCTCGGGAGCGACCCGAGGAAGCGTCCGCCATGCGCGGGAGCCAAACCGGAAGCCCCCGTTTCAGATCAAAATCCTAATACAACTTTGGATGTTACAAAAAAATATTCCTTTGGTCTCTAGAGATTGCAAATGAAATTTCAGATTATTATACTGCTCAAGGCATTGAGCCATAGAGCTTTAACTGGACAAAGAAAAGGAAAGGAATGCTCTCTTTCTTCTTATCTTCTAGGAGAAGAACAAGAACCAGAGCAATGGATTTTTCCATAATGATAACCTAAAAGCTGTTGTGGGGAACTTATTTGGCGCTGGCATGGAGACCACTTCAACTACCTTGCATTGGAGCCTGTTGCTGATGATGAAGTACCCTGAAATTCAGAGTAAGTCCTTTCCATTTCTTGGTTTCCATTATTCTAGGGTATCTGGATTCCAGGTATGCATAGAGGTAAGAATGGGGGGGGGGGAAACCCAGAGACTGCTGTTGGATGTTACCTGCATAGGACGTTTTCCACAGGAATGGCTCTCCCCGCTCCTGCATTTGTATTCCTCCACCTCTTTCACTCATTTCTGGAGATGTGTTTGCAGTCCCAGGTGCAAAAATGCAGTTGGTCCTCTCTTCTGATACAGCATTAGACTTCCCTGTTTCTGGGAATTCCCTTGCTGCACCACAAGAGGGGAAAAACTGCGTTGTTGCTCCTGGGACTACAAAAACCACTGTGGAAATGAGCGAAAGTGACGAAGAGCCATTCCTGCAGAAAACGTCTGAGGGAGAACAATACGCACCAGTGAGTTATACTTCCTGTTTCCCCCCCCCCCTCTAGTGTAATGTAACAGAAGGGGTGGGTTGGATCCTCTTCCAAAGTGGCATGTGTTGTGCCCTTCCCCAAGGTCCCAATCATGTTCAGAGAGTGACTGTTCTCTCTCACTCTCTCAGGGCCAAACTAGATATTAAAATAGCCATGGAGAAGATTTTGGTGGCTTAAAAAAATGGAAATGTGTGAGGGGGCAAGGGGGAAACTTACTGGGGGGTTGTCCTCACCAGTAATCCATTACCTCAAGTATTTTTATTGCATTGACTCAAAGAATAGCAAACAACAAACACAGAATCATAAAATAACAACACGGACAGTAGCCTTGCCAGCTACAGTATAAAATTCACAACCATAACTACGAAGATTAATTTCTTGAATAATAAATTACTTATCATGATAGAATTATTCATCAGTAGGACTTAAATCAAGAGAACGGAACTTTATTTTAGTCTTAACCACAGCAATAAATTTTGCCGTTTGCAAAGTTAGCCATTTATTTTCTACCCTCCAGTAGTGTTACAAGTTTATTCAGACCTGATCTCCCTGATATTCATAATAAAATATTTCCAAAGTATCTTTCCCACTTCTCTGTAAACTTTAACTCTAAAAACACCCTCCAAGAAACAACAATTTCCCAGGGAGAAATATCCAGGGAGAAATATCCACTTAAAGTCCTCTTTCCTCAAATTCAAAATTTCCAAATGGGTTCCACCCATTCTCTCCCCCTCTTGAGGACTGTTGGAGTCCAAGGCTGAACAGCAAGGCCCCCTCCATCATGGGGGCACTTTTTCAAGAGCAGGATCCAAGATCCATTCATACTAACTAAGACAGCCCCAGTGTTTTTAAGGAATAATTCAAAATATGAAACAGAAATTCAGTTCATTGGGGGGGAAATGTTCTGTTTTCTCAGAGCAAGTACAAGAAGAAATAACAAAGGTAATCGGGTCTGCTCAGCCACGGATTGAGCACCGAGCAAAACTGCCCTACACAGATGCGGTGGTTCACGAAGTTCAGAGGTTCGCTAATATTATCCCTAACAACCTGCCACATGCCACCACTGCAGATGTCACTCTTGGAGACTACTTCATTCCAAAGGTGATCATTGTGTGCTTTACATTCATTGTTCAGCTGAATAGGGCAGATTTGTAAAATTTTTGCAACAAATATTTAATATTGTGGAATAAGAGAGCCAGTTAATGAAGTTCGATGTCCCGTAAATTTATCTGACAGAAACAATGTGGGGGATTTTGTTATATTTTCAGATGGCAACACCTGTTCTGGATTTATACATATTAACTTCTGAATGTGTGTCTTTTTGAAATAGTAGATATTACTGCCCACTGAGGAAGGCCCTAGAGGCCGAAACGTGTATGGCCTTATTGGTCATTTGATATATTCAACAACTTCTTATGTGAAATCAACAACTTTCTATGTGAAATTGCTACAGCTTATGTAAAGCTCATGTTGATGTTTTATGCAGTCTAATATTCACACCTTATGTTTCTAATCTTTGCCACTGTGTACACCATACAATCTCTCCCCTTATATAAAGCCGTAGTGGGGTCCAACATTCCAATGACCTACAGTGTTTGGGCGCAAGTACTGTCAGTCAGAGGATGCTGGCTGGGTTGGCTGGCTGCTTTGTGTAGTCCCGCCCACGTCAGCCCCGGCCAGCATGTTCGGCTCAGTCTGCTCTGGGCCTCTGACAGGAGAGGACCATCTGCAGATTGAGCGCAGGGACGGGCCGTTTCAGCCCAGCCGGAGAAGCCCCAAAAAGTTGCCGGTAGACACACGGTGACCCAGGTAAGGGGATGGAATTGCGCGGGAAACCCCAGAACAGAGCGGCGGCCGAGCTGCCTGTGTCTTTGGGTGGGGGTGTTCCTGGTGCGTGTGGAGGGGGAGGCAAGTCAGCGGCCACCGCTGGCCTGAGTTCTCTCCCACCCACTGCAGCCTAGGCCACTCTTCTCTGATTGGGCCAGCGTTTCAAGGTCATTTGCATATGGAAGTTGATTGGACTTCACTCCATTCTGCACCTCAAATCCCCCCCCCCCACAAGACAGTTGGAACTGTCAGTTGCATATGGGACCTGGTGTATTCTGAGGTAAAATATGTCCTCACTCACAACACATCACTTCCCCTTCAAAAGAAACAAACCCAATAACACAATTATGCCACACCAAAAAAAAAGACAGATCACACCACAAGCAGAATACCACAAGGCAAAAAATGATAGGAAAAGGTGCCAGCAGTCACCCCATCACTGCCACAGATATGTACCTGAGAGCGCTTCAGAGGATGGTCTGCAGGTCCCAGGTTCATGTTTTAAAAGCTGCCTGGGGGATTATGGACCATTCACACACTTTCAACCTTAACATACCTCATAGGGTAGTTGTGCAGATCATACGGGGGAGAGGAGAATGATGTCAGCTGCTTTGGTTCCCACT